CTTTTTCCTTTAATTCAATTCCAAACTAAAAGCCCATAATCGAAAATAGCCAAACAATTTTGGTATGGATCAGATGCGAAGTTGCTAATACAGTGATGGAAAATAATTATTATTACAAGCTTTAATTAGGTTGCACCTGTGTGTAATCAAATCTTGCAATCAATTTTTATCCAACTTTCCGATATGCTAGAGACTTTGCGCCGAGCGGGCTCAGAGCCCGATAAATTAATCTGCTTGGTGGCCATACAGATGCAATCAACCGAAACTCTGACCTGCAAATTTTGAGGCTTATTATTATTTTTGATCGAAAAAATGAAAAACCACAAAATAATGATTAAGTTCGAATTTAAGTTATTTTACTTATAACTATTACCGCCCCAGTACTTATAGAAGCACAGATATCTACTACGAAACGTTTGTTGAATAAATTTAAATCCGATTTTTCAGCAAACGAACGTTTTGAGACACTAAGAGTCGTTGATAAAATAGCAACGGGCAAAAGACAAATAAATTTAGCTTAGAGTGAAAGGTTGCCAGGTCAACTTTTTACCAAAACAGGAAGCAAGGAAAATTTAAAATTCATCGTTTCAAAAACTCGAATTGCCTCTTTTACTATTTTTCCCAATTTCTATAGAGTAAAATTAACTACCCATTAATAGTTTTGTGGTCCTCTCTGCCTAAATTAAGAAGCTTCAATCTTTTGAACAATAGATAAATAGTTTGGATTTTCTCTTCACTAGGCATTCCATCCAGTGCCTGCTAAAAATTTTGTCTACTTATCCGCTTTTCGTGTGCTTTGGTTTCGATAGGCACTCAGCCTCCTCCTTGCCATCATGTCCCCCATGCCCCGGTACCCCTTCTATTAAATCTATATTCTTGGCTCAAAGCACATGTAGGACATTGAAACGGTCATTCACTAACTGAGAATTTATTTTTTGGGACTTAAGTACCAACAGGGCTGCATGACTGTCCGGCAAAATGCACGAATCTCCGCTTGAAAGGCGGTGAAGTATCGATCTTTTGAAGTTCGGCGCAAATATGCCAGCCCCAGTTTTACCATATATATACTTCTGTGCGCCATTGAGGGGCTGTTATCGATTCTGTCATGTCTCCTAATTCCGATCTGATTTTTCGTCTTCCTAGCATTGATAGAACCCATTTATTTATTATTGGGCTCACTTACACACTTTCTCAACAAAGCGTCATCATTTTCCTTGTATGGTGTGTTATCAAAAGCCCCTAAATGTCAATGAGGCACAAAGGGCTATATTTGTAGACTCCAGAGCTTTTTCAATTTCTAAAGAGAGCCTATGAATGACAATCTCAGTGGATTTACCTGGTAGAGCAAATTGAGCAAATAGCAAATTTATTCTTATTCAGAGGAAGGGAAATTCTCTTCTCTGATACACTATCTAGTATTTTCTCCATACCTGCTAGGAGAAAGTAGCTGAGGCTAATTGATCGGTAGGACATGGGTAGCTGTTCCGGTTTACATATTTTTGATAAAATAGCGACCCTAACCTCAATACATCTGCTGGGAATGTGACTGTGCAAGATCGAAACTCTGTAAAGTTTAGGAGGACTGGGCTCTGTAAGAAATTCCATGCTGCAGGAGACACTCGTAGACCCTATTAGAATACTACACATTATATGCTGTGCGGCAGATTGTTTGTCCATCTAAACTTCAAATGGTTTTTTGGGTTTATAGTTCTTACAACTTCCCCCAAACATGTAAATATTCACATACGTTCCCAATTCGCCGCCCGGTAAGATTTTTCCCATAGGCTACTTGCATGTATACATATGTATGTATGAATGTGCGCATGCGCATTCAACCATTGCTCCGCCCAATAACAAATCGTTTTCAGACTTAAGTGCGAAGAAGAGAATATTCACCGTGGAATTATTTCGAAGAGAAAAAGTAGGTATCAGTCCACGTACTATATATATTTTACATATTAATATTTAAATACATAAATATTATATACATACATGTCAATCAATGTATTCATGACTCATTGTACTAACATTTGAGATTTCATTAGCTATAAAAATTAGATGTAATATAAAACAAATTAAAACACAAACAAAATTGTGCCTAGAAATCACAAATTCTCTCTGGCGTGCTCTTAAACGATCGCTCTCTTAAATGGTGCAATCAAACATTGTGCGTTGTTGCTGTACGTTGCATTCGAACCCTCAACCACCGCCAATTGGTGCGCTTGTGTTTCAACTGGACAAGATGCTGGTGGCTATGTTTTATCACCGTGGGACGGGTATTATTTGCCTTCGAGCTGTAAACGGAGTCGGTTTGGTTTTTGACGCTGGACGGTTAATTGCGTGGCGGTGGTAGTTGTAGTGGTTGTGGCAGCAATTAGAGTGACGCACAGTGTACCGGACATACGCACACAAATACAAACAAGTGTACTCCCCCATACATACATACATACACATAAAAATATATGTACATAGTATACGCATGCATATATCGGTAACTATATACGAGTGGCATACGCCTGCGGCGACAAGTGCAAGTTCCTCATTTGTTGCAAGTGCAACAGATTAAAAGGAAATAAGAAAATAAATTGAATAATAAAAATTGTAAACAGTGACTAGTGTGAATTGAATTGGAACTTTGTGCGTTGAGGAAGAGAGTGCATAAAAAATAAATGAAAATATTGAAAGAACGCAAGTTACAAATTAGTGAGCTATTTGTTATAGCTGCGCATGGATTGCGGAACGGCTATGCTGGTGTTTGTTTGCTCAATGAAAATGTCACAACAACATTGAATGGATGCCGGTTATTGAATAAAGTATACGCAAATACACATGAATGTGCATACATACTACATGTATATGTATATACATACATATGTACATATATGATAAAAATTTTTTAATAAAAACCAACAATAACAGCAGCAAAAGCCGTGAGCCTGCGAAAGCGCGAAGTAAATTTATTTTTGAAATGTGTGATTGTGTAGCGTATGTAAATCTTTAATTATCCGTTCTATTGCTGCATCGAACATAGTTCGCTTTTTTGTGAAATCTACGAAAAAAAAAACAACTTAATCCCGAATTGCTACGAACTTATAATTGAAAACGTATTCTACGCTCATAGTTTTACGGATTAAGCTATAGAATATTTGTGGCTTTCGCAAAAATCGAAATTCAAGTGATTCAGATACAGCCCATTTAATTGATGCTCCTATAAGCTTGTGCGATTTAATAAAAATTATACCGTTAAACATTGTAGACAGTAAATATTTAATTTGATCAATTAAAACAATTTGGAATAGCAAAAGGAGAAAAGTAAAAAATTAGAGACTTTAATTAAAAAGCTATGCGATATCGAAAGCTTACGCGTGTGCACAATAATAAAATAGTATTAAAAAACAAACTTATGTGCCCCTTTGAATTGTCGAAGCGAAGTTTTCATCGATCAAGTTTTTCAAATGCCTTTAAAATTTTAGTATATGATGAAAAAAAACTGCCACATAACTTTAAAAATAGAGATAATTAGCTTTTGCAAGCTGATGCCAGATAAAACTTTGTGGCTTTGCGTGACATTCATAACTTTGCATTTTATATAAGTATTTAATTTTAAAAATATTGGCTATGTAACTAAATTTTATGTTTCTGCATAAAAAAAAAAATATTAAATCAGCTGATGGTCAACGCGCGCAAAAAGATCGGAATTGGTCATCTTTTAGTTTCGCGTTGCAGCTGAAATGATCAATGTGACATGCTTTGGGCATTTTCATACATTTCATATTATCTGTCAAAGCAAATCTGTAACGCAAAGTAAAGCAAGCTTAATCTTACTGCCAAGATACTGTTAAAATCATTATGTGACAAACTGCATAACGGTTGCCACTAATTTTCTGTTTTTTTTTGTTTCAGAAGGATTGTGTTCAAAAATAGTTATTTTTAAGCGAAAGACAAAACCGACTTAAATGCTTATACAAATTTAAGAGTACCGTTAATTTCTTCATGATTCAATGAACAGATCTAAACCAAATTAGTATGGGAGCATCTCTGAGATACCAACTTTCCTCTAAGAAGAGAATTATAGAAATCGGCCAACGTTGTACAAAGTTAGGCGGCAACATACAAAAAAAAAGTATTCCGACCAATGGATAACCTCCTTCTTTTTTCGAAGTCGGTTTAAGTTCAAAACAAAAGGCTTTATAAAAGTCACAAAAAAAAAAAATTGGAGAAACTACATATATAAAATAGGCTGAGTTGCTTAAACAGTTCACAATCATTTTCATTAAAAAGTCTACTAAAAACTTAATAAAGTAACCCCATTTTGCTCAAAATTAGTACGGCTGTGTATTCACTTATTCAAGCGGAAATTAATATTGTGTCTTTTACAAAACAAAAGTCAATGAATTATGTGGCAAAAAATTTTACTTTATATACTACAAGGAAATAATTCAACAATAACTCAGGAATATACAGTATTATACCTGAGCAAGTAGAGTGTGTTGCTGGGATAATTTTCAATGCTGATTTCAAGTCCGAAGACTATTTTTTGCGTTAAATGTGATGGCGGTTTTTGGCAGACATAGTCATTTTATTCAATAATAACATAAAATTTAATGAAGTGCGCTGTAGCTTTTACGTTTATATTCTTGTGTGTCTATATAAAGTAATAGACTCCAGATATAGGCGCACACCATGTCCGCGTCTCAGAAACCTTGGTAGTTGCTCTCAACTCTCTCCAGATCCACTCGCCGTGCTCGTCATTCGTATCACGCAAATATTTCGGCAAGAAATCTAGGATGGAATTATTGCAGAAAATGAATCTTAAGCGTCATACGACCGACCGCAAATTTTCTTGTAATTCCTCAAAAATTCCGCGACAAGTCGCCTGTAGTGGTTGCTTTTCTGGTTGCCAAGGAAATTGTGGACGATGCTCCTGAGAGATTCCCATACTGCCTTTTCTATGGGTCTAAAATATCGCGAAAAGTTCTTGTCGTCCATCATTTTTTTTTTTTTAACCGACTTCACAAAAAGGAGAACGTTATCAATTCATCCGAATACATATATTTTTTGATGTATGATACCGCATAACTGTGGACCACGTTAACCGATTTATATAATTCTTTTTATTAAATGAAAGGTGTTACATCACAGGTGGTACCACACTAAGTTGAAATCCGATCATTGTATCTTAAAGAAATTAACCGATAATCTTATATCTTTTTTATATGATAATCTATAATCTTTTTTATATGAGAATTGAAGTCGGTTATATTTTTTGCTTAAAAATTACTTGTCTTATGTCAGGTCCAATGAAAATTCTTTTTTTTTCTTGGGTAACAGAAGAGTTAAGCACTGTAAAGACAGTCGAACGCTACGTGCAAAATTCTAAAATTCTGGCGACCTAACGAAAATCTAACTAAGCAAGTATTTGAATTCAGCGCAAAAAAATACTTTACGAAATGCATTTTTCTTCTTGGGTAAAAAAGTTTACTGAAATTGTTAATTCTGCGTAATTACGAACCAGTGAAGTGAACAATGACTACTATGAGAAGTTTTATACAAACCGCTTTGCATAGAAAATGATTTCGTTTTTTTCTTTTGGAGCAGCTAAATACTGTAAATATGAATACACTAACATATATTTTTCTAGCTCGAATATCGTATCATGGATTGGCTTAAGCTAAAGTCATTGTTAATAAGTTTATCTCCAGAAGAAAACGTCCTTTGTAGTGGTTAACTCAAGATGAAGGAAATTAAATACCCAGTGCCATACTTAAAGCATAAACAGACGGCAGCGGGAATTAACTGCAGTTGATCCGGATTAAGTCCGAGTTAATCCGGATCTACGCTGCCGTCTGTTGAAGCTTTTACAGTGAAGAGTTAACTCACATTCGGTAGTTAACTGTTGACGTTCAGTACAAATTTTGAAAGTTAACTGCTGTTGAATTAGTGTCAACTCCTTACTTTTGCCCATAGTGGAAGAGCACTATACAAATTAAAATATGAACAAGTAATTTTTAAACAAAAAAATGAAACCGTCATCAATTCTCTTATAAAAATTTAAGATTTTCATTAGTTTCTTCACGATCCATTTATCGCATCTAAACAAAATTAGTACAGGACCACCCACAGGACACCACACAAATATTTGGGCAAATACAAATTAGTAGAAATAAGATTCTTATTCGATTCCTTGCATTTGTTTTTCCGCCGGGATTACAAAATTTAAAAAAAATTTTTTTTGTCAAAATATTTTTATGCAAATTTTTTTGTCATTTGAGTGGATTTTTTCAAAAAAAAAAAAACTTTAAGAAACCATTTTTATTCATAAAAAACTTCACTTTTAGAGGTATTTTCAAATCGGTTCAGCTCACGTAAATCTTACTATTTTTCTGAAATATTTTGGTGAATGTCTTAAAATATAATAGATTTTATAATACCAATGGAAAAACGGTACCGATTTTTTTTTTGTATGGGGAGTGATGCAGTCTAATGTACATACATATGTAGATATAGCTGCAATTAATTTCATTTAAAGAAATTACGTGTCATCCTTTTCCGCTGTAGCGTATGTAGTGCTTACGGCGAGGCGACATCTATTAGAGCCTAATTGTATGTTTTTGATACCTACCGACGAGAATGATATATAGACTAGGTTGTATAGAAACTTTGCCATAATACCTTTGCTATAAATGGTGTTTGGACACACAACATTGTTAGTTTATAAAAGCGTTGTAATAACAGGTTCTGTGCCAAATTTTTCCATTTGTCCTAAAGCCTGTTCTGTTACATAAAAAAACAAGTTAATAATGAAGAAAATCGATGGATAAATAACGAAATAATGAGTGGTGAAATGAAAATCAGAAAAATTTTTATTTTTTTTAAGTGAGCAGGAAATTAGGTTATTTATACGCCACGTACACCTGGGTAAGACGATTTTCCGGTCATATTTCATACAAAAAATCTTTGCGCATTTTCATTTCACAACTCATTACCTCTTTAATTATCTATAGATTTTCTTAATATTTGATTTTCTTGTAACCCAACAGGCTTTAGCACGAATGCAAAAATTTTACACAGAACCTGTTATTTTTTTAATTTTCCTCTTGTTAAAGTTTGTTTTTTCTTGATTTTTTCATAAAAAAAACATCTGCAATGATTAATTAATTTGTTCGAAACTATCAGATTTATTGAAAAGTGATCTACATACCCGTTATGAAGAATTTTGTTAGCTTTCATTTGCGTATTTCATATTAATATTGTTGAATTGGTTCGTAAGATATACGTGATTAAGTGGAACCACTTTTTTTTTAAGCTGAATAACAGTAAATTGAAAATATCTCGAAAACGTCACTTAAGAAAAAAATAATAATTTTGCAAATTGGTTACCAGCAACCATAGCCACAATACCATATTGAACAGTTTGAACAAAATTCTGCCATACAATTTTTTTCCTGGTACACTAGGCGAATTTTGCCCCATAGATAAAAAAAAAAAATCATATCTGAGCAATCAGAGGTATGCAAGATATACCTTATAAAGCACCAATTTAAGTGATTTTCACTGCTGTGTGTGATCGTTATGTAAACCGGTAGGTAACACAATTTAATGGGTTTAGTATAGGAGATAAAACTTATACAGTACCGATCTTGACGATTTTTTCAGTAGACTTTGTATGGTTAGTTTTACAGTAAAACTACGTACCTGAACAATCGGTTATACGCAGGCAATAGGTTATAGAGATTCGGTCTTTGTAATTTTTACTGTGAACTTTCTGTTGATAATCAGTGAAAATAGTGAGAAATTTCATTTCATGTTTATA